AGGACACGTTCTTACCATTTCAAAGAGCACTGCAGCAGTGACGGCCATCCAGTGCAGCTTGATCTCAAAGGCAGCGTTGAGGGAGAAGTTGCCGTGGTAATAGCAGCTGCACCACTCAGTTCGGTCACTGCGGTTGTTGACGTCCACGTCTAGAGTGACCGTTTTCTGCTCCGGAACTGTAGCAGCTACAGGACACGTGGACAAGGGTGGGAAACAGGAAGACGGGAGACAAAGCAGCAAAGGAAAGGAAGCTGAGGGCGTGATGAAGAGCACAGCTGCTGACGGCTTCATGGACGATCCTCTGAGGTTGGATCGACACCGACTGACACTCAGGAAACTCTTTGTTTTCTATATTACACACTAGCTCTGAATAAGTATTCATATACAGTCTGGTGCAGACATGTGAGCCAACAATATTATTTCTGTTTCTTAATTCTGAATAATTATGTAAGACTGAAGCTCCAGATGTTTCGTGCACATGGCTGCACAGATGCAGGAACCTCTGCAAACTGGCACCAGCGTCATCGCTGTGCTAACACCATCATTCATGTTTCCAGGTGCGAGCGCATCATTCCAGCTCCTGGATGCAAAACAGCAATGTTTTAACAAATGATGCATTTAATGGCTGCAGGAAGCAAGAAAGAAGCATGAGTGCAGGCAGCAGAGGGACAGGAGAGGACAACGCACACCACAGCACTAGTAACCCACAGCCACTGACACCACAGCACCAGTGCAACTACTGCTGCTTACGCACTGACCACACAGCATGCACTGAGGGGCTATTTGATCACATGGATGCTATTAGAACTACAGGTACGGTGCATGCACTGGAGAACACAACACCAGCTGTCCCATGCAGACCTGCAGGCCCCCGTGAGGCCAGCTGAGCCCTGAGTCAGTGACGGCGCAGGGCGAGGACGATGTCAGGGACGATACGAACGATGGTGAATGACGTTTGGATGTTACGTCTGTGGGTTTTACACGTAGAAGAAGCTGTTACAGAAGCACACTGAGTATCATGTTGTGTGAGGACTGCTGCTGCAAAGACTGGAGGAACAAAGGAAATGTGTACAAACTGAAAACCACGATGTTGATGCCTCCAAGGAGAAAAGCTGGAGGGTGCAGAGTTGAGCAGATGTTGGCCGTGATGCTCTGCAGCCATAATCCTAAATAACTATCACTCAGGGTTTCCCCTTTGGCGTGTGCAGCACTGCACCAACATCCCTACACAAAAGCAGCCTGTTCACCTTTGGTGACACGCTGGGCTCAGCTGCCCTCTGAGACAGGTGGGGGTACGATCTGCATCAGACTGCATCAGACGTGTGGGTCGGGCTGGGTGTACCTAGCAGTGCGGCGGCCTGGCTGCGTCCTCCAAAGCTGCGGCTGAAGGAGCTGTGCCTACTTGCGTAGGAAGCTGGCCGGCTGGGCAGCCAGGGCAGGAGGAAGGCCGGGAGGTCGCAGGGGCGCCGCTCCTCCAGCACGAAGGCCACCTCGAACCACTTCCTTTGGAACAGGGAGAAATCCTCCAGCGCTGCAGTGGACCAGCCCCCGCCTGCAGCGGTGGAGAGCGGGGGGGTGGCGCCTACAGGGGAGACGGCTGTGTGAGAATAACCACATGTTTAAATGTATTCGCCAAGTTAGACGATGTTTGTCGTGAGCCCGTTCACTCACCGTCCTTCTCGCCCGCTATCCTGTAGAAGTAGAAGCCGTAGACGAAGGTGCGCATGGCGTCCCCCGAGGCGTGCGTCACCAAACCTTCATCCAACATTTTCTACATGAAAGTCAGTTGCTGAGTGGACGCCACACAACATGCATTCATAGATAACATGGAGGACGAGAGTGGGTGTGGCTGCAAGCTCAGCCCTCATAATGTCCCCCAGACTTCACGCCTGACCTCCTCAGGGGTCAAACATGACCTCATCTGGTTTTATTGATACTTAATTAATATAAAGTGGATTTTTCACCCACTTTTAATTAAAACTTAATTCAAACATTTTGACTTTTATTCCATTTCACATGTAACTCTGATAAAACCTCATTTATACCAAATGTTTCTTTGTTTTTTGGGTAATAAATAAATTAAATGATCAGTTATTGTGATTATCGTTTCACAACCAGAGTCGGCTGCTTGAACAGATCACAGACGGGTTTGTGTCAAAGTTCATTTAGGAAGCTGTTTTTAAACTACTTATAATCACATCTGTTGTCCTCAAAATGACCCGTTTGTTTTGACTGTTTATAAACAACAAGTATAAAATATCATCATCTCTGTGTTTCAAGGTTTTATTCAACTTTATTCCAACTCGTTACCTGATGATCTTCTATTGTGTCTTCATCATGAAATAATATCACTTTTGTGCTTCTGTGATTAATCTTGTGTCAGCATGAAAACTTCTCTACCAGACTCAGGACGTCATAAACTGGCCGTAGCGACTCTACTGGATGCACAGCAGTAAGAATCAACACACACA